TTTTAAATTCGAAGTGAACATAAATCGAACTACAACATTATAATGCATTGAAGCAACACCGAACTGGAGGTTGTGTTTGTGAACCAAATCCTCAAACCATATCGGAAATTTTTTCAATATCAAGATAAATCATCATCGTAATTATCATTATAAAACTTAAGCTCTGTAAATAATTAATAAAATACGATTATTTTTTTTCTCTTGCGACTAAAAGTATCTACTTTATGTAAATTTAAAGTTTTTGTTTAGATCCAAGTTTCTCTATAAATTGTAGTACTCAACCTATATTATAAAGTTCTCATTTCTTCATCCGATATGAGATGCCCACCTAGCAACTTAAAAGAAATTAGCTCCTCCCAAGTCATAGAATGGTTTCGAGCTTACAAGCAAAGGGGGAGCCCCTTAATGGCAAGTTTATCTGTAACTTTGTTGCCGGAAATTTCAAGGTGACTCGAAATGTATAGGATACATATATGATTGCTTTAGCCAAGGATATTCAGCTGTTGAGACACACTATCACTAGTTTTGATGTCACTTAATGAGAAATGAGTACTTTTCTTGGTGTTTGGTTATCAGTTAAGATTCTTTTAAAATATTTAAAAGAAATTATGGTATTTAAATGAGGACAATGGACCGCGGCTGACTGCAAACTGATTGTAGGATGTTGGCTAATTAGACGGATACTGTAACAAACTGTGATAACTAACAGAAATTAGACGCAGTTGGAAACAACTTGTAGAACTCTTAAGTTCCTAACGGAGTGTGATTCTACTAATGAAACTAAAAGTAACTATGATAGAGTAAGTTTTAGTAAACTAAATAAATAAATAGAACTAAATATAAAGAAGAATTCTTAACTTTCCCTAACTGGAAGACTATCTGTTAAAATCAGTAATTGTTTATACCATACATATTACACTTTCTTATTTAACAAGAGATTTTGTTTTATATTTTACCAGATAATCAACAAATCCAGTATGTTAACTCTGCTTTATATAATAGTTTATATCATATTTTGTTCTTGCATGGCTTGTTCCGAACTATCTTTGTAAACTCGTGCCACATGTTAACAAATTTGAGAGTACATACTTTCAATGCAATTGTAACAATAACAATATATGAAAAAAATGTGTTTACATAAAGATAAAGAATAATGAAAAATTAACCATAAACTGACCACTTCAAATATAATTCGAGACACATGCCATTGTAATACTAAATACCTCAAGGATACAGGAACAAAATATACAGTACGTATAAATATTCTGCAATTTCAAACCAAACAAGGTGCCACACTGAGTGAAGCTGGACATATGTTCGATTATCTGAGTTATTGAATTTTTAAGAGATTATACAAAACTAGTTAAACCCTAGAATGCAAACTTGCATGATCATTGTTGTTGCTTGTATAAATATTGTAAGAATGTAAATAAGAGTAATTTTAAGAAGTTGTATATACGCAAGGATATGTTTATCATTGGTAAAGACAATCCTGTGAATATATGCCATGACATGTTGCCACACAATACGCAATGTGCGTAATCTTAATCACTTTCTCTTCTTTTCGGATAAGTTGCATATATTTTAGATTGTCGCTTGTGTCCTTTTTGTCCCAAAGGTGCACGAAATCGATAACTGAAAGGATATTTGATAGATTTCTTTGATTTGTATTTTTGATTAAACACAAAAAGGTATACAATATGTTTTGTGTTGAGATATATTGTATATATTTACACTATTATTATCTTATTCTTTCGAATTGCAAAGGTGAAATGGTATAAAAACACATTTATACAATTTTAATAGATATATTTTGGTTAAATATTAATATTAAATATTAATATTGTTAAGACATTTACAAACATATTTATTTTATTTAATTTATTTATTTTAACTTCATTTGAATTAATGTTAAATACTAATCTCTATTCACCACTTGCGCACTTCAACCGATAAAAAGCTCATCTCAAATTAACTATATGGCAACGCTTGCCTTTACTTCTTTTAATACGGTTGTGCAATGCACTTTTGCCTTTGGGTTTCTTTCTTTTTATTTTACTCGCAGACTAAGACGGTCGGTTCGGTGAAGTGCGCAAGTGGCAATTGAACTTAACAAATTAATTTTGAATAAAACATAAATAGTGAAATCATAGATCCCGTTTTTAATTTTGAAATTATAAAAAATAACTTTAAAAACTATTAAAGTTTCAACATGGCGCCCGAGCAGGGACTATTTTAAAGTGTTTTTTTTAAAGTGTTTTTTTTAAATCTGTTTTTTATCGTGAGTGTTTTTATTTGTAAAAAACAATTATCATTGCCACGCGGTCCACGTTTCTTTTTTTTATTAATTATAAACGGTACTGGCACCGCATCGCAAATTCATCAATACCGCTATCCAAATCCGCAACGGTGCTTTACGGACCACGTTTATCATCTTATTAAATAAACGGCACTGGTACCGTAAAATAATTTCACCGGTTTGCTGTATCACCACATCGCTGCAAAAATCCGCAACGGTGCTTTACGGACCACGTTTATCATTTTTCATAAATAAACGGCACTGGTACCGTGAAATAATTTCACCGGTTTGCTGTGTAACCACATCGCTGCCAAAATCCGCAACGGTGCTTCACGGACCACGTTTATCATTTTCTGGAAATAAACGGCACTGGTACCGTAAAATAATTTCACCGATTTGCTGTGTCACCACATCGCTGCCAAAAGCCGCAACGGTGCTTTACGGACCACGTTTATCATCTTATTAAATAAACGGTACCGCTACTGCTGTTTCACCAACATCGCTGTTTTTCAAATTTTCCAATCAATGGACTGTTGCTGTAATAGGAGACCAAAGGATTGTCAGGTAATAGAAATGTAGATGAGGGACAGTGCTTAAATAAAATTTAATTACAGCGGCAAAATCACCGCAAGCATAACAATTTTCCTTCATTATAGAATCCTAACAGCACTGCCATCTGCATTCTCTCTTTTTTGATTACAAGTACATTGCATTATATTAACAAAAAATATAATATACATTATTAACATTATATTGAATTATATATTAACAATAAATAAAAAATATATCATTTACATTATACTGCATTCTATTAACAACGAATATAAACGAAATATACAATACAGCTAAACGTGAAGCACGTCGATTCATTTAGTACAAAATATTTTTCTCTTTTGTTGTTATTTGTAATTATTTATTTTCTGAAATGCCTACTAAAAAGCGATCACAGTCTTTGCAATCTCCAAAGGGGGTAGAAACCTTGATCCATAATCGAGAAGCAGTAGTTGCCGACATTTTAAGGTTAAAGGCAAACTTACTAGAAGGCAATGTTGCAAAAAGTCCTAGTGAGCTAGAGTGTAGATTGGAAATACTTGACTCGTACATTGACAAAGCGATGCAATACCAGAGCAAAATATTTGACCTGGATCCTACTGATGACTATAGGGCTGTTTTAGAAGATATTTGTGTTTCAACTAAATCCTTGTTTTTACAAAAGTTGAAAAAGCATCGCTTTGTTAGCGCCCCTGCAATCTCGCACCACTGTGGTCGACCGCAATCGAAGTTGCCAAGCATGCGACTACCAAAATTCAGCGGCAAATACTGTGATTATAAAAATTTCATTAGTTTGTTTGAAAGCCTTGTTCATAGTGATGAAACTCTTACGGACATTGAAAAATTCAACCATTTACTGTCATGTTTGTCAGATGAAGCTCTTGGTACTGTGAAGGCCTTTCAAGTCACTGAGAGGAATTACCCAAAAGCGTTAGCCAGTCTTAGGAAGGTGTACGACAACAATTGTCTCATTTTTTCCGACAATATTAGTAAGCTTTTCGATCTCCCAGTAATTCACAAACCGTCTGCTGCATCTTTGCGCACTACAATTGACACTGTGTCTGCCATCTATGATTCCCTTCTTTCAATAGGAGATGATAAGAATATCACCAATGCAATTCTTATTCATTTAGTCATGCAAAAGGTGGATTCAGTCACAAAATCAAAATGGGAAGAACAGCTGGACTACAACACTTTGCCATTATGGAGTGACTGTGAAGCAGCTCTTAATAAAAGGTTCCAACATCTATCAGCGGACGAGACCTCTTCTACAAAGCATAAAAAATCAGTGCCAGAGTGTGACCAAAAACCCGGTGTTAAACGGGACAAACGCAGCTTTAAATCCTCCTTTGTCTGCAACAAGCTGAATCAATCCAATGATCCCAAATGCGTATATTGTATGTCTAATATCCATATGATAACGAAGTGTACATCATTTGCTGAATTGCCTGTGTCACAACGGTTCGACGCAGTCAAGGCAATTCCAGCGTGCATAAACTGTTTAAAAAAAGGCATTCTGTTTCAGCATGTAAATCATCACGTTGCAGAGTGTGTGCGGGACAACATCACACACTACTGCACAAATACACTCCAATTATCCCTCACGCAACTGCAAGTTCTGATTCCGATCGCGTTTTTGTAAATCATAGTGCTACTAATTGCGACCAGGTAATTTTGGCGACAGCACTAGTTACTGTAAAGAGTAAGTCTGGAGAGTACCGAACAGCCAGAGCCTTACTTGATTCCGGTTCTCAAACAAATTTCATGACCGAGGAGCTTGCACAACTATTGCAGTTAAGAAGGGAAGATGGATGCCTTAATTTAATTGGAATTGGTAAGATAAATACCACAGTTAAGCATAAGTTACATGCGACTGTGAGATCGCGAGTCAATTCTCATGAATTCTCAGCCGATTTTTGGGTATTGCGAACAATATCCACCTACCAACCAAATCATAATATATCTACCGCCAGTTGGAAGATTCCGGCAAACATTGAGCTTGCTGATCCATATTTCTACAAGTCACAAAGAATTGATCTTCTTCTTGGTGCTGAAACGTTTTTCGAACTTCTATCGGTCGGACAAATAAAACAAAGTCCGAATCTCCCCACGCTGCAGAAAACATTACTTGGCTGGACTGTGTCTGGAAAATATCAAAGCAATAGAAATGTTGAGCCCCATGCTAATGCCTTAACTGTTTCACAAGATGATGACACTGTAGTTAGCTCATTGTTGCAAAAATTTTGGGAACTTGAAGAAATTCCCAATAGTGAAAAAACCGCCACGCTCATACCTGAGCACAAACTTTGCGAGGATAAATTCTTGTCGTCAGTGCAACGCTTACCATCGGGGCGATTCAAAGTTTCTCTTCCTTTCAAGTCTGATTCCCGCAACCTTGGGCTATCATTTGAGACAGCTAAGCGTCGTTTCTTGTCACTAGAGCGTAGACTTTCTAAAGATGCTGCTCTGCATGATTTATATATGGACTTTATGAAAGAATACGTAAATCTAGGTCACATGTCTTTATCAACTCGCAACTTCTCTGTATCTCCCCACTACTTCATACCACATCAGTGCGTATTAAGACCACAAAGTACATCGACAAAACTTCGTGTAGTCTTCGATGCTTTTTCGAGAACATCAACTCAACTGTCATTAAACGACATATTACTGGTGGGTCCGACGATACAAGAAGAATTGTACACAACGTTGCTCCGTTTCCGTATGCATAAATATGCATTAACTGCTGACATTACTAAAATGTACCGTCAAGTTTTGATTGACGAGGCAGATCGCGACTTTCAACTCATTCTGTGGAGGGAAAGTCCAAACGAAGAATTGAAGACTTACCAATTGAACACTGTGACATACGGAACATCCTCTGCACCATTTTTAGCAACTCGATGTTTACGCCATCTAAGTGATCTCAATCAATCAACGCTTCCAATTGGTTCCAATGTTATTCGAACCGACTTCTATGTTGATGACTTGCTGACTGGTGCAGATTCATTTAATGAACTCGAAACAATTCGAAGGCAAGTCACCCAAATTCTGGAGACAGCTGGGTTCCAGTTAGCCAAATGGTTCTCAAACCACCCCACCTATCAGGACGATAAGCAGTTGAAAAAATCATTGAATATAACCGATATTGATACAACGAAAGCACTAGGCATACAGTGGCATACCACAAAAGATGTGTTTAGGTTTCAGTTGGACGACACTTACCTAAATTTGCGTGCAACAAAAAGAAATATCTTATCGATATCAGCTCGTCTATTCGACCCCCTTGGCTTATTATGCCCAATTGTTGTGAAAGCAAAAATTTTATTGCAAGAATTGTGGTTACAGAAACTTGACTGGGACGAATCCATACCCATGCGTCTTGACACTGCTTGGCAGGCCTTTAAGAATGACTTGAAACAGTTAAACTTAATTTCAATTCCGCGATATGTTAATTTGCATTTTAATGTTAAATGCCAAATTCATGGTTTCGCTGATGCATCAGTGCGAGCATATGGCTGCTGTCTATACGTAAGATGTGAAACGTCAAATGGTTTCAAGTGTGAGTTGCTTACTGCTAAATCAAAAGTTGCTCCTCTGAAAACCAAATCTTTACCTCGGTTAGAGTTATGCGCTGCACATCTGCTTGCTAAATTGTGGAATAGAATCCGTGTAATGTTCCATCACAACATCGACGAGGTAGTTTTTTGGACCGATTCAACAATCACACTACATTGGATCAAAACGCATCCGTCAACACTTTCAACATTCGTGGCGAACAGGGTTTCAGAGATACAAGAATGGTCAACTAATATAACATGGCGACACGTGCAGTCACAGCACAATCCTGCTGACATAGTATCCAGAGGATGTAACGTTACTGAACTAGTCAGTTCAATTTGGCAAACTGGGCCTGAATACCTGTCGCAAGATGTTGCCAAGTGGCCAATTAAAATAGCGCCAATAATCACTTCGGATCAAGAATCTCTGGAAACAAGGAAAACAAAAGCTGTGTTTATCGTATCGGAAGAACCCTCAAACGCAATTTTGAAGTTAGTCGGTACTCAGTCATCATACATGAAGCTCATGCGAATTGTTGCGTATATACTCCGATTCATAAATCGCGCTAGGAAATGTCAAAAAGAGATATCACTAATCCTAAGTGTCAAAGAATTAAATGGCGCTTTCTTAAAGGTCGTGGAACAGGTTCAAAAAAATGCATTTCAAGATGAGATATATGCACTGATGAAGAAACAGCTGTTAAAACCAGGCATGCAGAAACTTACTCCATTTCTGCACGATACAAATTGTGGCCCCAATAAAGTAACACTGTTACGTGTGGGAGGCCGGTTGCTCAATGCCCCAATTAGCCATGATTCCAAGTTTCCACTCCTCATGCCAAAAAATTGCCATTTTATTAATATCTACTTAAGGCATCTACATTTAAATAATTGTCATGCAGGTCCCAAGGCGTTAGGGTCAATTTTGCGGCAAAAGATATGGCTTGTTAACGCGAAAGCAGCTTGCAGTAAAACTGTAAGAAGTTGCACACATTGCTTTCGCTATAAACCGAAACTTCTGACTCAAATAATGGGAAATTTGCCAACTGATCGAGTCACAGCAACGCGTCCTTTTTTGATTTCAGGTGTTGATTTTTGTGGTCCCATGTATACAACATTAAAAATACGTGGTCGACCACCAGTTAAAACATACATTGCCGTTTTCGTTTGCTTCACGTCTAAGGCTGTACATTTTGAACTAGTCTCTAATTTATCTTCTAATTGTTTTATTCTTTGTCTTAAAAGGTTCGTGGGACGGAGAGGATTGCCAGATCGAATTTACTGCGACAACGCAACAAATTTCGTGGGAGCCTGCCGAGAGCTGAAAGAACTGCAACAAACGTTCAAAGTACAGAAAGACCAGCTGGTGTCATATGCTGCACAAGAGGGAATCGAGTTTGTCTTCATACCGCCTCGCGCACCACATTTCGGAGGATTGTGGGAAGCCGCCGTAAAGTCCGCGAAACATCTATTACTTCGAACAGCGGGCAGCGCAATGCTAACCAACGAGGAACTGCAAACATTGGTAATTCAGGTGGAAGCCGTTCTCAATTCAAGACCAATCGAACCTCTCAGCCAAGATCCAAACGACGGTCAAGCACTAACACCAGCACATCTACTAATAGGGGATTCTCTGCGCACGCTGCCGCAAGAATCAACGCTCGACGTGCAAAACAGCAATCTGAATTATGCGCAGAGATGGCGGCTGCTATGCGAGCTCAAACGCAGATTCTGGCGGGCCTGGTCCAAGGACTATATCCTCAACTTGCAAACAAAAACCAAATGGATCTTGGAACAGCCGAACGTAGCAGTCGGCCGTCTCGTCGTTGTCCACGAAGACAATCTTCCCCCTCACCAATGGTTGATCGGCAGGGTCCAAGGTACGGTAGTCGGGAGCGACGGCAGGGTACGAGTGGTAGACGTTAGAACAAAGAATGGAGTCATAAGAAGGCCAATTCACAAATTGGGGTTGCTTCCAACTTGAACACCTATGGTGCTTCAACGTGGCCGGTGTTAAGACATTTACAAACATATTTATTTTATTTAATTTATTTATTTTAACTTCATTTGAATTAATGTTAAATACTAATCTCTATTCACCACTTGCGCACTTCAACCGATAAAAAGCTCATCTCAAATTAACTATATGGCAACGCTTGCCTTTACTTCTTTTAATACGGTTGTGCAATGCACTTTTGCCTTTGGTTTCTTTCTTTTTACTTTACTCGCGAACAAAGACGGTCGGTTCGGTGAAGTGCGCAAGTGGCAATTGAACTTAAGAAATTAATTTTGAATAAAATAGAAATAATGAAATCATAGATCCCGTTTTTAATTTTGAAATAATAAAAAATAACTTTAAAAACTATTAAAGTTTTCTTCAATCATAAAAATCATCTTCAAATAATAATTGAAACTTTAAAAAAAGCTAATATGAAAATATCTTTAGAGAAATCTAAATTTTTTGAAAGACAAGTAGAATTTTTAGGATATGTTATAAGTTATCAAACGATCAGCACTGATCCAAAAAAAATCGAAACAATTTGCAATTTTCCTTTACCCAATACACTTAGACAATTAAGAAGTTTTATAGGATTAACTGGATATTATAGGAAGTTTATTAAAAAATATTCTGAAATTGCTAGACCATTAACAAAACATTTAGGATCCCATAATGGAAAAGTTTCTAAATATATTTCTAAAAAAATTGAGATAAAATTAAATCAAGATGGTATACTCGCATGTGAAAAACTAAAGGATTTATTAACTGAACAAGTTAAATTAGCTCAACCAGATTATAATAAAAAGTTTGTACTGACAACAAACGCATCAAATGTAGCTTTAGGAGGAGTTTTAAGTCAAGAAGGAAAACCCATAACTTTTATATCGAAAACACTTAATTCAACAGAACAAAATTATGCAACAAATGAAAAAGAACTTTACGCAATAGTTTGGTCACTAAAAACATTAAGAAAATATTTATATGGAGTTAGGGAATTAGAAATTCAAACAGATCATCAACCTTTAACATTTGCAATGTCAAATAAAAATCCAAATTCTAAAATGAAACGTTGGCGGGCTTTAATTGAAGAATATTCACCTAAAATAATTTATAAACCAGGAACACTTAACGTAGTCGCAGATGCGCTATCACGACAATATTTAAATAATGTACATTCAGCTGAGAGCAGTGATAATATAACAATATCAGAAACTAAGAAACCATTGAATATGTTTAAACAACAAATACTTTTAGCAAAAAATAGATTTACAATACATGAAGTTATAGAAAATTTGGGTAGAAAACGACATATTATAGAATTTGACACTGTAGAAAATTTAATAAGTATTTTAAAGGAAATTCTAAATCCAGAAATTATAACAGCAATACATTGTACGACAGAAGATTTATATGAGGTTAAAGATACATTAATTAAAACATTTAATAATAAATTCCTTTATACAAAAGTTTTTGCTATAGACATTTGAAACAAAGAAGATCAAGAAACAATTATTCAGCAGACGCATAAGAGAGCTCATAGAAATTATATTGAAAATTTACAACAAGTTTATAATAAATATTATTGGCCAGAAATGAAAAAGAAATTTAAAGAGTATGTTAGAAATTGTGAAATATGTAATAAGAATAAATATAAACGACACCCAAAGAAAATTCCAATAGGTGAGTTACCATTACCAACAAAAGAAGGAGAACATTTACACGTAGATATATTTTTCGCTGAAAATTTAAAATTTATTACAGCCATAGATGCTTATTCAAAATACTTAACAATTAAATTAATTGAAGATAAGACAAATTTAGACGACAAAATCCTTGAGATATTACAATCTTACCCCGAAGCAAATAAAATAATGATAGATAACGAACCAGGATTTAGTACTCCACAATTCAAATCTCTTATGAACCGATCAAAAATTGAAATTTATTATTGTGACCCAAAACATAGTGTTACAAATGGGAAAATTGAAAGAGTACATTCAACATTAATTGAGATAGCACGTTGTTTAATGGAAGAATATAGTTTAGTAAGTCATTTAAAATCAATTTATCGTGCTGTTCAACAATATAATAAAACTATTCATTCGGTTACTAATCAAAAACCATTTGATATGTTTAATAAAATTAAACATGATAATTTAAATTCTAAGCTATTAAAAGCACAAACTAATATGCTGTCTTACCATAATAAAAAAAGAGTAGATAAGAAATATAAAAAAAATGACATAATATATGAAAAAGTAGTTGGAGAACGAAATAAATTACGACCTAGATATAAAAAACAAAAAGTAAAAGAAGATTTAGAAAATAAGATTCGAATTTATAATAGAAATAGGATTATACATTGTAGAGTACTTAAAATATACAGTACCGAAAAGTGCACAAGGCAACACTGGTTATTGTGTACTGCTTTTAGTGAGTCGTTCATGAGGCAGTTGGATTCGAGCCATAAGTTGAACACGTTGTTAAATATACTAATAAATAATATCTAAGATATTACACTGGCGACGAGGATGAACCCTCAATTTGTGCAGATAGTGGGTAATATCCCACATTTTGAATGTGACCATAATCAATGGCACATTTTTAAATCGCAAATTAAACAATTTTTTATTGTGAATAATATTGAGGAGGACAAGAAAAAGGCGATATTGTTAACAGCAATATCGGAAAAATCGTATCAACTGCTGCAGAATTTATTATATCCAAAAAAAGCAGATGACGACATCACTACGTTTATTAATTGTTTGGACGTGTTTGATAAACACTTCACGGTGCCAACATCAACTTTTGCGGAACGATATAAATTTTATTCTGCGAATAAAAGTTCAGCAGAAAGTATAAATGAGTGGGCAGTGCGTGTCAGATCACTTGCAGTTAATTGCAATTTTGCTGATAGCTTGGACACGGTGATACGAGACAAATTTGTGATGGGGCTTGAGAAAGGCCCGGCACGTGATAAAATATTTCTAGAAGACGCAAACACATGCTCATGGCAGAAAGTTATCGATATCGGTAATGCAGCGGAGTATATGCAAAAGCAACACGAGGTGACAATAAAGCAGGAGATTGGCGGTGAGTTGTTATATATGAATAACGGGAGAAGCAGAGGCTCAAAAGTTCAGCAACAACAAAAGCAAAGTGGACAGTCGCAGTACCAACAACAAATACTATGTACAGTGTGTGGATACAAAAATCATATGGCTTCGGAGTGCAGGTATAGAAATTATAAATGCAAAAAATGTAACGTAATAGGTCATTTGAAAAAAATGTGTAATTCTAGTCAACAGTTACAAGATCAAAAACAATTTAATTTTGTACAGACTGGTGAAGCTGTCTTGTATGCATTGAATGGCGGGGGTAATGAGCCTATAATAGTCACAGTATACATTGAAAATATGCCGATAAAATTAGAACTGGATACAGGGTCCACTTATAGTATTATGGCGTTAAATACATTTGAAAAAAATTTTAAATCAAAACCAATTGAAAAAACTAGCATTGCGCTTAAGTCTTATACAGGTGAGCCAATATTACCAACTGGTAGTTGTGATTTGTGTATAACATATAACGGTAAAACCGATATAATTAAATTCCTAATAATAAAAGGAGGGGGTCCTCCACTGTTAGGCCGTAATTTTATTACAACATTTAAACCTAAAGTCGCTGAAATTTTTAGCTTAGAAATAGATCAAAAAGAAGAAATTGTACAAATGTTTAAAAGCTTGTTTGACGGGGGGTTAGGCCGGTTCATAAAAAGTAAAGCAACACTAAATCTTAAGGACGAGGCCAGACCAAAATTTTGCAAACCCAGACCCGTGCCATTGGCTATCAAACCTAAAGTTGAAAAGGAATTGAACCATTTAGTTAATATAGGTGTGCTTAAGCCGGTGACATATAGTGATTGGGGAACACCAATTGTACCAGTGTTAAAGAAAAATGGTGAAGTTAGAATTTGTGGTGATTTTAAAATCACAGTTAACCCCAATTTAATTGTAGAAAAATATCCCTTACCCCGTATTGAAGATATTTTCGCTAAATTAGAGGGCGGGGTTGAATTTTCAAAGTTAGATATGTCAATGGCATATCAGCAGATCGAATTAGATGATCAAGCGAAAGAATTTACAACTATTTCTACTGCTAAAGGACTCTTTCAATATAATCGATTAGTATATGGACTGGCATCAGCACCAGCCATTTTTCAAAAAATAATGGACAAACTATTGATTGGGTTAGAAGGAGTTGTAGTCTTTTTAGACGACATTTTAATAACTGCGTCGAATAGGCAATTACACAGAGAGAGACTGATTAAAGTTTTAACAATATTAAGAGATGCGGGACTTAAATTAGCACGGGAGAAGTGTACATTTTTTTCTGATAAACTTAATTATCTAGGTCATATCATTGACAAAAATGGGCTGCACACTTGTCCGCACAAGGTCAAGGATATCGAAAAAATGCCTTATCCTACAAGTGTTAAAGAACTTCAAAGTTTTTTAGGAGTGATTAATTTTTATAGGAAATTTATGCCCGAGGTTGCAAGTACGTGTGCACCCTTATATGATTTGTTGAAAACATCAGACACCTTTGAATTTACAACATTGCATAAGGAAGCAGTAGATAAGCTGAAAAACGGGTTGAGTAAAAGTACAGTTTTAGCTTATTTTGACCCTAAATGCAAAACAAGAGTGACTGTAGATGCCAGTCCTATTGGGGTGGCGGCAGTGTTGTCACAGGTATTGGAAAATGGTAGTGAAGTTCCAATTGAATTCGCTTCACGAAAACTCTCAGAAGTGGAACAGCGTTATTCACAGCTAGACAAGGAGGCGTTAGCAATCTTGTTTGGAGTGAAAAAATTTCACCACTACATTTATGGAAGATTATTCACATTAATAACAGATAATAAACCATTAGAGTATATTTTCGGTCCCAAAAAGGGCATACCAGTAATGGCCGCAAACAGGCTGCAACGCATTGCTATAGCTTTATCGGGTTACATGTTTAATATTGTTCATGTAAAATCGCAAGCTAATATAGCTGATTATTTCTCAAGGCACCCCAACAGTGAGGATAGTGTGTTGTATTCATCAGGAAACTTGGCTTTAAATTTCGTTAAAGAGGTCAATCAGTTGCAACTTAGCATTGATAAAATTAGAGAACATTCAAAAAACGATAGAGTCTTAACACAGATAAAAGAATTTGTACAGACGGAGTGGCCTACAAATTGTAGCGATCCCGATGTAAAACCATTTTTTTCACGAAAGTATGAAATTTATGAAGAAGATAGCTGTTTCTTTTGGGGATACAGAATAATTATTCCCAGCAGTCTTCAAAAGTCGGTTTGTAAATTTTTGCATGAAACGCATTTGGGTATTAATAAAATTAAAAGTATGGCTAGAGAGTGTTGCTGGTGGCCTAATCAAAATGTAGATTTAGAAGAAATCGTAAAAAATTGCGACTCGTGTTTAATGAATAGAACTAATCCTCCCAAAAGTGAATTGATTAGCTGGAAATGGCCGAAACAACCGTGGCATCGTATTCATGTTGATTTTTTCGGACCATTTATGAAAAGATGGTGTTTAGTTGTAATTGACAGTTATAGTAAATGGGTTGAATGTATTGATATGGGGAGAAACATCACATCGCGAAGTACCATTATGGCCCTGAGAGAATTATTTGCTCGGTTCGGGTTGCCAAAAGTAATGGTTTCAGATAATGGAACTTCGTTTGTGTCAAATGAATTTCAAAATTTCATGTTAATGAACGCAATAAAACATATCACAACACCAGTGGGTAATCCTGCATCTAACGGGCAGGCCGAAAATACGGTCAAGACGATCAAAAGCGCTTTAAAGAAATATTTATACCAGGTTGATCCCACAGAATTTTCAACAGCATTGTCTAGATTTTTACTTGATTATAGGAATACAAAGCATACTAGTACAGGTGTTGCCCCAGCACAGTTAATGTTTGGAAGACAGCTTCGTACTAGACTTGATCTTATTAATCCTAAGAGAAAATCTGAAATTGTAAACATTAAAAAAATTAAGCAAAATGTTCTTAATAATCAGGAAAAACAAAAAAATTATTTCAAAGGGAGTAAAAAAACTCAATTTGGTATAGAGGATGTAGTAATGGTTAAGGATTATTCTGTACCAGGTAGAGTTTCATGGGCTAAAGGTATAATTAAAAAGAAAATTGGCAAACAAACTTATATTGTAAAATTATTAAACACAGATAGAATCTGGAAAAGACATGTAAACCAAATGATCAAATGTAATGCAAATGTTAACAGAAATGTATCAGATAAAAATAATTATGTTAACGAGTTAACAAGGTTGCAGCCGATATCTTTAAAATCATTTGAAAATGTAAATAATGAAACTGATAGTATTAGTCAAAACAGTATTGTAACAGCTGCAACTTATAATGAAATACAAAAAACTCAAAGATATAATTTAAGACCTAGAAATAAGTAATCACAACCATAGTTCATGTAAGCAAAATTGTGAAGTTAGAAGAGTATATTAAGCATAATTAAGTATTAGTCTTAAGATCCAATAAAAGTGAAATGCCTACCATGAACGGCTGGAGGGGGTATTGTAGAGTACTTAAAATATACAGTACCGAAAAGTGCACAAGGCAACACTGGTTATTGTGCACTGCTTTTAGTGAGTCGTTCATGAGGCAGTTGGATTCGAGCCATAAGTTGAACACGTTGTTAAATATACTAATAAATAATATCTAAGATATTGCATACATAAAGATAATATTAAAGATTAGAACACATTTTATTTTCTTTCATTTTTATATTTTAGAAAATGATTTTATTACAACTAATAATTTTGAGTTTTGCCTTTGCGGATATCGTTGATTATACGAGAGAAAATTACGTACTTATTGAAAATGAAAATGTTGCCATATATAATGACTTTGGAACAATATATCATATAACAAATATAACTTATTACGAAATAATTTTGCAAGAGACGAAAGAACTCTTTAAAAATAAAATTGACTCAGTAGAAATACCACACAATAAAATTTTACCAAACTACGACTTTCATGATTATCCCACGAATAAAAATTATAACAGTCTTGTTGAAATAGATTTGCAACTCAATACGATAGAAACCTTTTTGGAACAATTAAAAATATTACACCGATACAAAAGAGGTATTAACGAATTAGGTACAATTTTTATATGGATTACTGGTACACCAGACCATGATGACATGATTAAAATAGAAGCAAAACTAAACGATTTAATAAAAAATAATAACAAACAATTCCTTACTTACTCACAAATATTTAAAACGGTTACGGAACTAACACAGAAAATGAATAATTTGCAAGGCGTTTCACGAATTGTTACAGCCACAACACACAGGAATCAATTAATTTTAATGGAACTCCAAAATTTAATTCAAACAATAAGTTTAGCTAAAGCAGGAATTTTAAACCCTGCAATATTAAATTTAAAAGAAATTAAACAAATTATTAATAATGAAATTAAAGAAATTTCTATAACTGATATAATAGATTCATCAAAATTTAAAATTATTCAAAATAAAGATTGTCTTATCATATATATTAAATATCCTTTAATAAACGAAATTTGTAAATTATATGAAGTAAGGGCTATTGCTCAATTTGATGGAAAATTAATTTTAGATAATAAGATCGCCAATTGTCAACAAAAATATATTAATATTAAAAATTGCAAAAAAGAACTTAATAAACATTATTGTGAAATTGAAAGAAATGAAACATGTTAGTCAAATTTGTTAAATGCTAAATCAGAAATTATTGAATGTAATAAAACAAAAGAAACCAATCAAAATATTGAAATTATAAACGATGGAGCAATTTTATTATCAGGAAATCATACTGTAAATGGAGCTAAACTAAATGGAACATATTTAATCACTTTTAATAATAAAACTTTTATAGATAATATAGAATACATTAATGCAAAAGAGATAATAAATAAATATGTAAGATCAGTAAATATCAATAATTTTAAAGTAATAAATTATATTAAAAATGAAACGGAATCAAATTTTTAAAATATAGATATATTAGAATATAATAATAATTTTAATAAACCCCACATATATTGGATTATTTTACTAATTTTCATCATTGCAATAATTATTATTTTAAAAATCAAATGTAATTGCTCAAATATACATTGATGTATCTGAAATTTCCGTTACAAATAGTACATAGCTGATACAGCACATTCTTTATTCTTTCTTTACACAGCTGCATCAAGAGTTTAAGGCTCAAGAGCAGATCATACATACAAATTTCTTAGCTCCATAAATTATACTTTTTATTATAAACAAAAACATGTAGTTTTGCTAAGCTACAAACTGTACTGTAGCTAAGCACTTTAAAATAATATATACAATTGGCATAGGATAAGAAAACTTTTAAACTGTATTTTTAGTTTTTAAGAAACGATGAATTAATAAAGTCGACATTTTTTAAAAAACTCTTTAGAGTATTAATAAAATTAATTTGCATGTGCCAATTAGCATCAATTCGTATATAAAATTTTTTCACTGATCACGCAAAGCACACTAGATGGCGTATCCAGTTGTTATTGGTATGTTTCATAAAAATATTTATAATTACTTTTATATCTCTGAGTCTGAAGCCAGCTATATTAAGTAAGCTATATTGCAAAGCTTAGGAAAACATTACCGTTTCTTATGACTTTGGGTTAGATGTTAGTGTTTCATGTTGAGTTCTTTTTTAAAAGAAAGTTCTATGATTGCTTTAAACCAAAATCTGAATATTAGGTAAAGTAGTTCAAAAATGGGTTCAATTCGCAGCTTTGATTTTCATGTTTTTTAATGGGTCTTGCCTATAAATTATAAGCTGTAAGATGTACATAAGATAGGAATAGGAATAAGATGTTCATATACTGAGCACAACAATTCTTAAGAAAAATATATATGGGACAGAAAATAGGTTTAAGCCTAAACTTTACATTATATAATAGTACAAAATTGTAATCTAAAAACTCTTGCAAGTAAAATAGCATTATTGATCTTTTTTGGTCTTTTCTAATTTATTGTCAAAACCGTTCACTTTGTAATACAGTATAATTCGCTTAGCTGTATCGATAAGATAGTTGCCTTAAATTATATTTTTTCTGCATTTATGGCTTCATTTGTATGAAAATAATTATATTTGATGCATCCAAGTTAGCTGCCTGTTGCACTTAAGCGCCTCGTATCGACAGAATTTAATTGACATTTTCTATGAATATCATCCAACTTAGCTGCGCCACCTAGGAAACGAATTTGCAAACAAAATAATTTATGCGTTTGCCAATAAAAAATACTCTTTTCTATTTGATGAATATGGCAATGCACTTCATCTGACAGCAATGCTGCAAAGGAAAACAAAATTGTTTTCTTTAAAGATGTAACTCATTTGAGATATTTGATTGATGGATATAAACATCATCTTCCGGCTACTGACGCCGAAGCTAAAGACGCTGACGAGGTGCTTTAGCAAATAGAAGCTCCAATTCTATTAGTTGGAGGAAAAGACGCTTCTAGAAAATTCTCAGGAATTTTAGAAGCTGTGGTCTAATTGAATAAAACCCAATTTCATAATCTAAATAATAACTTCAGGTATTGATAACAAAAACTTTAAGAATCAGTCTAGAGTGAGCAAGCCTGGAGTCTAAGTCCAGAATCTAGCATTCAAAACATTAATCGGAATAATTGGTTATTTATACATTAATCGATGTTATATATATATTTAATTAAATAAAATAATTATAAATTTTTTAAAAATAAAAACCCGTGTCTAAAAAAATTAATTTGCATGTCTTTTTTTTATTTCTAAACATGTCCGTTTTTATTTTGCTTTGATCGTGTCTTTCTATAAATCATTACTAATCGTAAAATGGGTAAAATAAAGCGTGTGGTTGGGTTAACAATAAAAGAAAAACTTCAAATTATTACGGCTGTTAATGATAAAGTTGATAAAAAGGTTCTATGCACTAAATACAGTTGTGACAGATCAACAATCAATCGCATAGTTAAAAACCAAGCCGAAATTCAAAAGTCTGCCTCATCGTCCCAGTTAAAGCGTAAGCGCCAACGAAAAGGTGCACACGATTTGGTAGAGGAGGCATTGTATAAATGGTTTCAACAACAAGAATCAATAAGCGTAATACTGGATCGGCAGGTAATTTTGGCGAAGGCAAAGGAGTTTTGCGTAAAGTTTGGTGACTCCTTTGAGCCTGATGCAAATTTTTTATGGCGCTGGCGTAAGCGGCACAATATTAAACATGGTAAAATTCATGGCGAAACTGCATCAAATGATTCCGTAGCAGCAACTGAATATGTTCGTGACGTATTACCCGGCATAATTACAGACTACGATCCAGCCAATATTTTTAATGCAGACGAAACTGGCTTATTTTATAAAGCCATGCCTAATGCGACCTTTTATACCAGTGGAACGCAGTTAACTGGGCAAAAATCTCAGAAGGTGAGGCTTACACTATTGTTTATATGCAATGCAGTCGGGACTTACAAAAAGGTCTTTGTAATAGGCAGATCAAAAGCACCACGTTGCTTTAAGAACGCCCATGTGCCACTGCCATATTATGCTAACAAAAAAGCATGGATGACTAGTAAGCTCTGGAAAGAAATAGTTCACGAACTAGATGCAGATATGAAGAAGCAAAAACGGAAGATTTTGTTGTTTATTGATAATACCACAAGCCACAATATTTTAGAAGAATGTGAAAACATTAAATTCAGCTTTTTACCACCAAATACAACGGCTTCAGTTCAACCACTAGATCAAGACATTATACACTGCTTCAAATTGGAGTATAGACGCATATTGGTAAAACAACAGCTAATTGCTGTAAATTCTGGAATATCAACAACTGAATTTTTAAAAACAATTTCATTGTTGGACGTTCTACATTTTGTAAACGATGGGTGGAAGCACGTAACGCAATTAACTATTCGCAATTGTTTTAAAAAGGTGAACAATGTATATTATCAGTATTGCTGTTAACTAATAACCACATTACCTATAAAGGCTGGATTTAATCTGTACCTCAATGGCGAAGGAATTACTGATGACAACGAGGAACAGTCCGATGAGATAGAATATGGACAACGTATTGATTGGAATGAATATGCAACAGTAGATAAAGATATAGCTTGTCATGGTATGTTAACGGATGAGGAAATTGTGCAATCACTGGTTCCCAATGATAACGAAAACGGCAGCAATGGAGAGCTTGACAGTGATGACGATGCCGACGATGAACCCGAACGCAATACTCTGACTGAAGGTTTTTTCGCCATTAAGGTGCTGAAGCGTCTTTGCATTCAATATAATTGCGAAGAATTTTTACCAAACCTTACATATTTGGAGGATAGATTTTTTAATTTATCTATAAAAATGGCTCCAGTGCAAACAAAAATTACAACTTTCTTTAAAAAGAACTAATGCTACTTATTAACCGTATACACAATGTCCAAATAAATAAAAAATATTTTAATACAGTAGAAGTTCACAAATTAGAACTCTCTGAAATTCGAATCTTCCAGAAATTAGAATTGAATTTTGTAAAGCATTACATGCTCTAAAATTAGAATTAAACATTTCAATTTCTGAGAGTTTTTTTTTTTATGTGAGTTTGTCCATGTTATTCGTTATTTTATTTTGAACAAACCAGAATGAAAAAGAGGAATCCCCTTTTTCGCTATTTATTTTTTTTTGTCGAATTTATTGACAATTTTGGCTAGTTTGTTTGTGAAATTCGATACGCGTGTTCATATTTTTGCAGTCTTTATAGAAAAGTGAAAGTAGATTATTGAAAATGTTAAATAAACGCAAAAAAAATACTTTATCCTTGGAAACCAAAGTTAAAATCTTAGAAAAACTTGATAAAGGTGTTCAAGGGAAGCGGTTAGCCCTAGACTATAATGTAACACCATCTGCAGTTAGCTACATAAAATCAAACAGAGCAGCAATTTTAAATGCTGTTCCAAGCACCTACCATGAGGCAACGAGCAAATCCCTGGGAAAGCGAAAAAACCAAGAAGTTTTCAAGGATTTAATAATCCACTTCATTACAACTTTTCAAAAAATGCTTGGATGACGTCTCGCATTTTTCATGATTGGTTTCACAAAATATTTATTAAAGAAGTAAGAAAAAATTTATTTTAGGTTAAATTATTTTAAAATATTTTCCATCCCACAGGTGATTTGCTTTTCTCAAGAAAACAATTTGCCTCCAAAAACAATTTTGCTTATCGATAATTGCTCCGCTCATGCACCAATTGAAAAACTTCGAAGTGACAATGGAAACATAGTTGCATTATTCTTTCCACCAAATGTGACATCAGCTTTACAACCAATGGATCAAAATCCTATTAAGTTAACCAAGCTAAACTACAGAAGTATTTTTCTTTCTCAATTAATTGCTGAAGGTGGTGAACTAAAGAATAGTTTGAAATCTCATTCAATCCGCAATGCGATTATACTATTGAAACAAGCTTGGGATGAGGTACCACAAAGTGTGATAAAGAAATCTTGGTCAAAGTTGTTCAACTGGGACTCTAATCAGTATGACAGGAATGCAATAAAGTTATCCAGAGAACTCAAGCTCTTTTAGCAGAAATAGATCAGAACAATAGCATCTTCATAGTAGATATTGAAAGATGGAATGAAGATGTGTTTGATGACGGATCTCCATATGAACCCAGTAGTGATGTTGAGTCTTCAGGTATGAGTGAATGCGATATTGTTGAAGTCTTACCAGTTGTTTTCGAACTCGGCAGCCATTGCGAGCGTTAATAATTTAATAAAATGATGCAACAATAGTGAATTGCTTTCCGCTAAGCACATAAGCAATCTGCTGGCTCTCCGTAACGATATTATTGTCTCAGATTTAAAAAAAACCAAAAAGGCAAACAAATATAACTGAATATATGTCACAGAAATATTAGTTTTAAACTTGCCGATTGTGAAAAAATATAATATGTACATGTGAAACAAGTTACATGTATTGCACTAAATTGATTTGTTTCTTTTATTTATTTTTATTAAATAAAGGAAAGTAAAAAGAAAAAACTATTGAATTTTTTTAAGTGAGTTTTTTCCATTTCTTATTTATATTCAAATAAAAAAATTTTCCAGAAATTCGAATTTTTCAGAAATTAGAATCACCTTAAAAACAAAGTGGTTCTAATTTGCGAGCGTCTACTGTATGTATGAAATAAATACATATATTGTATAAAAACCGTAAAATTTAATTCTTTTATATTGTTGCGATGAAATGCGCACTATTTTAGGCAGACTATTAAAATTACGTTAGCTGCCTTTTTAAGATAGCTGCCTTTTTAAGATAGCTGCCTCCAAATTCTCTGTAAACAACTCGAGGCAGTTAAGCGAATTATACTGTAGTTCTTTCAAATTTTTCAACTAAAATATATACTTCTCACTCACTCTACTTTGATTTAATGTAATTAATTAAGCATTCCTTGGCGTTTGTTTAAACGGAATGTCAACTAATACATTATAAAATATAGAAACTTCAAAAAAAATTTTTCATTCGTTTAATACGTTCAACAAAGTTAAGTTTCAGATTCGAAGTTTAAAAAAAGTCGAAAAGTTTAAAATACTTTAGGTCAAAAGCAGCTTTACGAATTACAAACTTAAGTACCAAATTTTTAACAAAAATTTTTTATGCCCAGAAATTATATAACCTAACTGATTTCAGTAACCATGTACCCATGGTATCCTATGACGCCTACTATGCATAAGATTCTTATTCATGGAGAAATTGTCATTAAAAATGCATAGCTACCTGTAGGATAACTATCAGAAGAAGCAGCGGAAGCACGTAATAATCATTTCAGATTGTATCGTAAGAACTACGCACGAAAATTTTCTCGGGAGTCCTGCAATACAGATATATTAAATAGACTATTATTAATATCAGATCCTCTTCTGATTGGATTGAGAGGCAAGCCAAAAAAAACATCAAAGCCTTTCACAAAGGAAGATCTAAAAATGCTCCTTCCTACTAATGAACTGGAAGACACTATAATGTCCTTAAGTGAGAAGGATGAACTTAGTGAAGAATTGAATTTTTAAATATTTTAAATCTTTTTAAAATTACACTTATTTTTCTAAGATAAAAACAGAAAAATGCATGCTTTCAATAATAATTTTCAAACTGAAAGAAAGAATTGCTTTTTTAGGAAAACCGATAAGCTAGTTATGGATAATGAATTTAATAATGTTCTAAAAAGGTTATTTTGTGAAGAAAATAATATAGAGACACATTTCACAACCCCACATTCTCATACAGGAAACTCCGATGTTGAAAGGCTTCATTCAACGCTCTTAGTGCATATCAGAATTATTAAAAATTCACGAAATATATATGATTCTGAAGAATTAATTATAAAATCGATAAATTTTTATAATAACTCAATTTATTGCTCCATTAAAATGAAACCAATAGATTTATTTAATAGATTACATATTGATCATAAAGTAATAAGTGAAAAAATGAAATAAAATACGAGAAGAGCAATAGAGAAGGAAAATTTGAAACCATAATTCGATTGATTAATCTAATCTTTATATAGATTAGAATATTTCAAAAATGGCTCTAGTCATTTTGAATAAAAATCTAAAGTTTTTTGTAGTTTACTAATATAATATAAATAAAATAAAAAACAATTTTTTTAAAAAACTATAAAAGATTAACTATGTTCGAGCACTTATCGATAGAATGTGGATTAAAATTAGCTAGTCATAACATTGAATCGAACCCTTTATTGCATTGGCAGTTAAGAGCAAAGAAGATTTTATACAGAACGGAAACTTAAATGAACACAACACAAAATAACAAACACACTCGCAGAAATTGCACTAATACCATCTCAAAACGTACGATTATTTCCGAATACGGACCTTAACTTACACTTAAGAAATATTGTATGGGCAATGAGTGCAACAGGGGGCATAATTTTGGACCTCTGTTTTGATAAAACAGAGGTCCTCGAAAAAAAATTTGATTGCACTGTACCATTTTTAAAAAAAATTACCGCGCAAATGATTGTTAAGAAGTAGTAATATTAATTTGTGCCCAATATGAGAAAAAGTATAAAGCAAAAAGTGATCAAAGTGATTTAATCATAAATTTTTTTAAAATAATAATAAAGTTAGTAAATAATAATAATTATGATTTAAAAATACTAGTGTATATAATTATAAATTAATGTTTTGTAGCTGGGTAGACATTGTGTTAGAGACTGTGCTACTTACAAGACGCTATACAAATTTCCAGCAACCGATGACGAAGGAAGTTAAGAATGCAATTGTTATTATTATTTATTGTACTATAATCTGTGTTTTAATCATACCACTAAAAGTATTTGTATATTATATCAATAGTTTCTATGCTACAAATTATGTTCACTTTGTTTTTTAAAACATTGTTAATCTTCTCCTCAACCCGACTTCACTTATTAAAACCCTTCCACTAATTACTTTTAATGCAGCAATTTCATCATCATGTCAAGCAATCCATTGTGTCTACGGTTAACTAATTTTTTAATATTCAACCTTCTATCACTACTATTAAATATACAAAATCACATATAAACAATTCCACATAAATTTTGATTAGTGTAATATTAACTCAACTATATTTTTTTCTGCTGATCTTTTCTATGAATTGATATATCAAAGTGTTTTTTATAATAAAAATTAAAATAAAAACAAAACCAAAACCAAAACCGAGTCCACAATTTGAATTTTTCATTCACAATATCAGATTTTTTCCAACGTGGTACGTAATATCTCATTATTTATACATTTATAGTAACCTATTTCTTTCCAGCTATTATACTGTAATATAAAAATGGATCCCTCCCTTTCGGATGAGGAGCTCATTTGCGCTTATCACTCTGCTATAGACACGCTTGTTACCCCAAACACCACCGCAAATCCATCTACAGTTTCTATACTTCACGGCCATATGGCCCATCCATTGACTGCATCACACCTGATGCAAAATCCATGTCAGTATATATCCAAATTGTTCCAAAAAATTTTTTATATATAAAATCATTTTTATAATCTCCTAACACCTATAACCTATTTAAATTGTAAATTATTAGATATACCTCATTCAATAAAAATCATCTAAATTATCATCGAATATAATAATATTCATGATCTATTACAATTCTTCATATAATAATTCCTTAAAATATGTACTGAAAAGTTACACAATCTACCATCCAAACGTAACTGCCTAAAACACTCATATCCTAAATAACCTATGGATGAATGCATCATTAATTAGACATTTAGTCCCCCTTCTTACATTTTTTAATATCTTATATAAATTCGTACATAAATATTACATATAACTGCCTTACATCATCTAACAACCTTTAAAATATTTATACAAAACACACTTTCATCTAAAAACTGTCATTATTACCATATCATAATATGTAATCTGAAAAATATGTTCCATCTTAAGACATCTAAAATAAATATTCTATATTATTTAAATTACAGCTGTCCTCCTCACAGAAGATGAATCGACCATATTTCTAACATCCCCTACCCACGTTGACATACAATTAATAGAAACCATGGATAGAATTCTGTCTAATATGACATCACACGAAGCAATGCCTCAACAAACTTTAGCAATTAGTGTTAGGAAAAAATCACTTAAAGTAGTGGATGGTGAAGAATAACATACATGTTTCATTGAAAAAAATAGATTATCTTCACAATTCAAGTATAGCAAACAACATAATTTTAAATATTTTATCTCCACCCACCACCAATAATATAATAGTAGAAAGGACAGGAAAGGTAGATGAGGTAATTCCAATAGGTAACATAGAGCCCCAAAGAAATAGTACGTCTTCAGAGTTGTCTCCTAGGAAAAGAAAATCAAGAAGTAAATAATCTATATATATAAAAGAAAGTTGTGTTAGTTACACCACTTATAACTCAAGAACGGCTGAACCGATTTAGCTGAAAATTGGCAGGGAGGTAGTTTAAGGCCAGGAGAAGGACATAGGATACTTTTTATCCCGTTCGACAGCATTCCCGTGTGACTTAACATGAAACGTCAGTGGTGAGAAACGACAAAGTAGGTTTTGAAATTATCAAATTTTTGATATAAGAAAATATTTTATTAAAATTTAACAGATAGAAATATAACTTAGTTAATGTGTTTTTAAAAGTTGTATTAGATCAATATAAGTTTGTGTTGCAATAAATATCGTTTTTAATCAATAAAACTACCTGGTTGTTGCAAACTCAACAAAATAAATAATTAACAATTATAATGTATGGTATGGTTGAAAATTTGAGTTTTTAGTTTTTTAATAATGCCGCGACCAAGACGATCGAATCTTTCCCGACAAAGCCGTAATGCAAGAAGAATACGAAATACTGCAAATTTAAGGACTGAAGAAGAACAAGAAATTGCACGTGAACAGCGCCGCGATAGTATGGCTCGACTTCGTGCTTCTCAATCACGAGAGCAAAGTGAAGCAGCCCGTGAAACAGCTCGGTTGGCAATGCAGAATCGTCGAGCGAACAACAGAGGTCAACAAATAGATAATTTGCGATGCAGAATAAGATATTTATCAAGTGCTGATTTGAATCGAGCAGCGTTTCAATACGATTGCAGCAATGATTACAGCTTGCATCCTAGCGTTTGCATTGGACAAATGGACGTAGTTTGCGAGTATTGTGGTGCATTAAAGTTTTCCGGAGAAACCCCTGGATTATGCTGCCTTAATGGTAAAGTGAAATTGCCATTGTTGACTCCGCCACCTGAGCCATTATATTCATTGCTTTGTGGCGAAACACAAGAATCACGCCACTTTCTTGCAAATACACAAAAATATAATGGTTGTTTCCAGATGACGTCATTTGGGGCAGATATTATCGAAGAACGAGGATTTAATCCGACATTTAAGGTATTTATTTTTGTACTTATATAGATGTAGTTAAAGAATAACTTACTTTATCTATTGGTACCTATGTAGTATATTTGCTAATTCTGAATTCTACTCTCCGACCGAAAAAAGTGTTTATAACACAGTTAATACTGTCTGGTTTTTATTTTGTAGATACAAGGACAGATTCATCATCGAATTGGATCATTACTACCTTTCGAAGATACACAGAATAAATTTTTACAAATATATTTCATGGGCAACATGGAAGAACAACTTGATCGACGCCTAGACATCAATGCAGGAATGAAGCGAGCAATTCTTCAAGACTTGCAGTGTCTGCTTCATGAACATCATGCGTTGGTCAGGTTGTTTAAGAGTGCTTTAGAGCGCATGCCAAGTGATGACTATAAAGTTGTCATCAAAGCAGATAAACGACCATCTGGAACACACGAAAGGACATTTAATGCTCCAACAGTAGACGAAGTTGCCATCCTGATTGTTGGTGAACAATTGGAAAAACGCGATATTGTGCTTACACGTCGCGATAATGGTCAACTGCAACAAATATCTGAAACTCATCGATCATATGACACATTGCAATACCCGCTGATGTTTTGGCAAGGAGAAGATGGATATTATTTTAATATTAAAATGATAAATCCATTGAATGGTGAGTATCAGTATCATAATTTATTTCATTTATTTGTGAAAGACACTGATTTAAAATAATGCTTATTAAAAAAATGGTTAATGTCTGTATTGTTTGCCTTTTAAATTTGCCTTTAAAATGGTTAATTATCAAATTTTTATTTCAGGTGAAGAAACTACAAAGAAAGTTAGCTCAATGAATTATTACGCATATCGTTTGATGATTCGTCAAAATGCTGACAACTATTTGCTTCGGTTTCGTCGATTGTTTCAGCAGTATTGCGTTGACATGTATGTAAAAATAGAAACGGAACGTTTAACATTCATTAGGTTGAACCAAGCCAAACTGCGTTCTGAGGAGTACATCCATTTACGTGATGCAGTTAGTACTGAAGGAAATGCAGCCAATATTGGTCAATTAACTATTCTGCCGGCGACATATATTGGTAGTCCACGTCATATGCATGAATATGCACAAGATGCAATGACATATGTTCGTCATTACGGTCGGCCCGATCTCTTTATTACTTTTACCTGTAATCCAAAATGGGTAGAAATTACTCAATTGCTGCTTCCAGGACAAACGTCAAGTGATATCACAGCACGTATATTCAGGCAAAAAATTCGGTTCCTGATGAACTTTATTGTTAAACAACGCGTCTTTGGAGATACTCGGTGCTGGATGTATTCAATCGAATGGCAAAAGCGAGGCCTGCCGCATGCACACATTCTTATTTGGTTAGTGGAAAGAATTCAGCCTGACCAAATAGATGATATCATATGTGCCGAGATTCCAGATTATGAAGTCGATCCAGACCTACATGATGTTGTTACTACTAATATGATTCATGGACCGTGTGGTGCCATCAATCCCCAATCACCTTGCATGGTTGATGGAAAGTGCTCTAAACGATATCCACGGAAATTAACGGCGGAGACTGTCACTGGCAATGATGGTTATCCGCTGTATCGGCGTCGATCACCAGATGGCAACGGTCGAACTGTCACAACGAAAGTGAAAAGAATGGATTTCGTTGTCGACAACAGTTGGATTGTTCCATATTCGCCACTTATTTCTAAATCGTTCAAGACACATTGCAACGTTGAATACTGCAATTCAGTTAAGTCCATAAAATATATTTGCAAATATGTCACGAAAGGCAGTGATATGGCGGTTTTTGGATTACAATCCTCGAATACCAACGATGAAATTTCACGCTATCAAGTTGGTCGTTATGTGAACTGTAATGAAGCGATTTGGCGTATATTCGCATTTCCCATTCACGAACGTCATCCTACTGTTACGCATTTGGCGGTGCATCTGGAGAATGGTCAACGAGTATATTTCACGGCTTCGAATGCTACGCAACGTGCTGAAACACCTCCAGCAACTACATTGACCAGTTTTTTTGCAATCTGCCAAAGCGATCAGTTTGCACGAACTTTGATTTACTCGGAGATGCCACGTTATTATACTTGGAATGCTTTATCGAAGAATTTTCAAAGACGGAAGCAAGGCGATGCGGTTCCTGGGTATCCAGATGTGCGTTCTACTGATGCTCTTGGTCGTATGTATACAGTTCATCCAAAGAATAATGAATGTTTCCATTTGCGGTTGTTGCTGGTAAATGTGCGTGGGCCAACGTCATTTGAGTCACTACGAACTGTTAATGGTGTAATATACCCAACATATCGTGCTGCATGTGAAGAATTGAAGTTATTAGAAAACGATAGTCATTAGGATACGACAATCGCTGAAGCCATTATCTCTGCATCTCCAAGTCAGATACGCACATTATTCGCTATCATAATTTCGACATGTTTTCCATCAAACCCATGTAACCTGTGGCACAAATACAAGGATAATATGTCAGAAGATATTTTACATCAAATTCGTGTCAGTTCCAGAAATCACGATATTGAGATGAATGAGGAGATACATAATCGTGCTTTACTCTTGATCGAAGATATGTGTTACCTCATGTGCGGTAATTTATTAATCAGGTTAGGAATGCCAGCACCATATCGTGAAATGAATGACGCATTTAATCGAGAATTGGAACGGGAATGTGAATATGATCACCAGGAATTAGATTTAGTAGTTCAAACGAAAGTACCCCTGTTGAATTACCAACAAAAGGAAGTTTATGATACTTTAATGAAGGCAATCGATGATGAAAATGGTGGTTTATATTTCCTAGATGCCCCTGGTGGAACTGGCAAGACATTCCTCATGTCATTAGTGTTAGCAACTGTTCGGGCGAGATCTAACATAGCGGTTGCAGTTGCTTCTTCTGGAATAGCAGCCACATTGTTAGAAGGATGCCGTACGGCTCATTCAGCATTCAAATTACCGTTAAATCTTCAAACTATTGAAGAACCAACGTGTAATATTGCAAAACACTCAGCAATGGGCAAAGTTTTAGCGGTATCGAAAATCATCATCTGGGACGAATGCACAATGGCGCATAAACGTGCATTAGAAGCACTTAACCGAACATTAAAAGATTTACGCAATGACTCGAGATGTTTTGGAGGAGCAATGATTTTACTGTCTGGCGATTTCCGCCAAATACTGCCAGTAATTCCAAGATCTACGGCTGCCGACGAAATAAACGCTTGCCTCAAATCGTCAAATCTATGGCGCTATGTGAAGAAACTGCAACTGACAACAAACATGAGAGTTACATTGCTTAATGATACATCTGCTGAAGATTTCTCGGAGCAATTGCTGACTATCGGTAATGGTCAAGTACCTGTCGATGAATCGAGCGGATTAATATCATTTCCAAATAATTTCTGTAATTTTGTCTCATCAAAAGACGAACTTATCAACAATGTATTTCCAGAAATTATTTCTAACTACAAAAATAATGAATGGTTGAGTGAGCGAGCAATTTTAGCGGCTAAGAATAAAGATGTAGATGACCTAAACTACATAATTCAAAATAAGATCATTGGAACAATGTATTCATTCAAATCTATTGACTGCGTCACAAATGAAGATGAAGCCACCAACTATCCAATTGAATTTTTAAACTCTTTGGACGTGCCTGGCTTACCACCGCACAATTTACGCCTAAAGGTTGGCTCCGAGGTAATCATGCTTCGAAACATAAACCAACCAAAACTGTGCAACGGTACGCGTTTGGTGGTTAGAAAATTTATGAACAATGTAATTTACGCTACGATAATGATAGGAAAATTCAAAGGTGAGGAAGTTCTCATTCCGAGGATACCGATGATCCCAACCGATATGCCGTTTGAATTTAAAAGACTTCAATTTCCGATACGTCTCGCATTTGCCATGACCATCAACAAATCACAAGGCCAATCCTTAAAAGTTTGTGGTTTAAATCTAGAACATTCATGTTTTTCCCATGGTCAATTATACGTGGCATGTTCACGGGTCGGAAGACCATCTGCGTTGTTTGTTTTTGCGCCTGATAATAAATCAAAAAATGTCGTGTATCACAAGGTACTTAAATGAAGAGCAACCTATGTACTAAAATACACAAATAAATTATGAATGATTAATGTAGGTATTTTTTTTTTTGTATTTTTTCCAATTAAAAAAAAACTGCTTATTTATTGCCTTTAAGGCGGAACAGAGTTCGCCGGGTCATCTACTAGTAAACTAATAAAAATTTGTTTATTTGTTAGGGATAAAATTATTTCAAAACAAAATTTAGAGATTGAAAAGCTTAGGCCCTCAAATAATGAGTAAGACATTTACCAGTATCACTGAAGTGCCAGAGGGGGATAATTTAGAGGAGTTTTGTGGTAGGCTCCCCCAAAATCTTCAAATTTCTGTTAGAAATTGTTTAAAGAATAGCGATAGGCCGGTATACGGCTATAGGTATAAGAATTTAAAGATTCTCGCATAAGGGGTGGTTTTTCTGTTACCGATAACCTATAGACATTTAAGAACTTCTTTTAATTGGCCAACAGGGCGAACTCTTTTGGAGTTTGTTTCAAAGTGGCGCAAATCTCCAGGCTGCATAAATAGTAGCCTTAAGTCCCTTGAATTTCGTAGTCGGAACTTCACATACCCTCAGAAGTATGTTTCAATTTCCTGTGACGAAATGTCTCTAAAAAGTCATCTGCAATATGATAGGCACAACGATAAAATTGTTGACCTTGAAAATTACGATGACGAGAATCGCAGTTCAAAAATGCAAGTAGTGTTTTTACCTTTTTAGTTCAAGGAATTGGTGGAGATAAATGGTCACAGCCTTTTGCTTACTTCTTCACCAGTGAAGTTGTAAAGCGGAAGTTATAAAGAGATATCTTATTGAAGTAATTAAGCAACTTCAAAGTATAGGATTAAATCCATGCCAAATTTTATTAGTTTAGCCAAAAGCTTAGGAGTTAGCGTAGACAATCCATTTTTTGAGGTGAACGGTGGTAAAATTTATTTCTTTCATGATTCTTCTCACTTGCTGAAAAGCACACGAAACTGCTTAGAAAATAGCAAAAATTGTTTACATTTTAAAAGCTTAAAAGTCTCTTGGGAAGATATTGTATTGTTACGAATTTAATCAGATAAGCAATGGAACGATTAAATATAATTTAATTATGTCAGTTGATATTTAAAAGTTAGTTGGAATTAGTTTTAGTTAAGTTGTGTTTCCAAAATTTGCTCCGAGTAAAATACAAGTTTTTTTAATTCATTTTACAAAATCCTGTGATTCGAACGTAGAAGTTAAAACCCTAAATTAACATAACGGCACTGCGCCACTGTTTCAATCAGGCCTAATGCCTATACTTCTTATGGCAACATTGTTGCACATTGTTTTTTTTTTCAAACTGCAAGTATCTTGCTGAAAACATATCAAGTATCATTTGAAATACTTGATCGATGAAATGTTCAATTATTATTGGACACAAATATCTTCATCTGGCTACTGACGCCAAAGCTAAAGACGCTTACGAGGCGCTTTAGAAAATAGAAGCTCCAATCCTATAGGATGGAGATAAGAAGCTTCTAGAACATTCTGAGGAGTTTAAGAAGCTATAATTTGATTGGTCAAATCCAATCCAAAAACTCTTATGAACGACTTCAGGCATCAAAGGAAAAACTTTGAAGTGACAGTCGTTAGGAAAGGTTTCATTAATAAAGTCGTGTCTTCGAAAGTCGTTAGGAAAGAATTCATAAATACAGTCGTTAGTCTTCAGTAGAAGCTCGTTGGCAGAATCCTCTAAAAATATATTAAATAACATTAAATAAAAAATGATTTAATAACTTAATACAATTGTAAAATATTAAATAATAAATTGACTAAGTATTAATATATTAAATAAAATATAATTTTTTTAGTTCACGCCATGTAATAGATAATACTATAACATTTAACAATACTATAGATTTCATTCAATTTTTCAATAACCTTTTTGATATATTTAATTCTAGCAACATTACAGGACTTAATTTCAAAACAGGTTTCTGTGGCTCAGTTGAGCAAATTCAATTTCTTAAAAAGGCACAAAGTTTACTTAAGTCTCTGAAAATTCAAGGTAGTGGTGACAAAAATATTAAGCCAACATTTTCTTTTATTAATGGCTGGCTTCTTAATATAAACAGTCTCTTGGTAATGTGGCATTTTCTTTCCACAAAAGGTTTTCAAGTTTTATTGACCAGAAAACTTTGCCAAGATCGGTTAGAACATTTTTTTGGTGAAATTAGAAGAGGAGGTGGTAATTGTTTATTTGTTTATTTATATTTATTTATTTATTTAGTTAGCTAGTTGTATTGATCCCTCTTTCATTGTTAAAACTAAAATGGTACAGAATGCTACTCTAATACCTTAGCCTACTACGGCTGCGAATAATATCTCAACACAAACAGGACCAATTCAATTAACAGTGTTTAGATGCAAGTAGGGAGTGAGCTAGTGTGCTCCCGATTGTCGATATCCTGTTACTGCAATGATATAGTGCTGGTAAACTTGCTTGTTGTATCAGATAACTGTACAAGTCTAAATAAGGAAGGAGAGATAGCTATAAGAAATGAACAAAGCCAAATACTTGTAGAAATGCAGGACGAAGGGAAAACGCGCTCGATGCATCAACCAATGAGAGATGTTACTGAAAACATAAAATCATTGTACGAGCTGGCTGTCGCAGAGCAGACAGAAGAGGTTAAAGATATTATTAAAAGGAGTCAAGGCACTCAAAACTCGCTAACTGAAACAAACGTTGATCAAGAAACGGCTTAGAGTTACATCCCTCTAAAGCAAAAGCAAAAGAGTAAAAACCATAAGCAAAACTCAATAATTACGGATAATAAACTGGCAGGTAACTAATCAGATGGATTAAGCAGACCAGGCTCAGAAAGGATTGACAATTAAGATTGGAAAAAAGTTAGTAGGAAAAAGATAAAAAAAAACCTAGACTAGATATGGTTATATCAAGGCCAGATACCATAGTTATAGCAACTAATGGGACACACTCCTAGGCTGATATACTGAGGAAAGTAAAAGCGGAACCTAAACTTAGCCAACTCTGTGACGCAGTTTCCAGGACAAGAAGCACGCAAAAAGGCGAATTATTAATCCAACTAGGCAAAAAAAGAGTTGCATGATCTAACACATGTGTTTAAAGACATTATCGACAAAATACTTGTTGAAAAATCAAATGTTAAAAGTCTGCCACAGCATAGCATAATTTGCAAAGATATCGATGAAATCAACACGAAGTGTGATATTGTAGAGTGATATAGAGGCAAATAATACGCAGTTAGACATAAATATTACAGAAGCGGATTTTATTAGCCTAAGGCCTGCATATGGAGGCACGCAATCAATTTACCCGTAAAAAATGCAAAAAAGCTTTAAGAGGCAGATAAAATAAAAATAGGATGGGTAATTTACCGTATTAGACTTCAAAAGACGTTAGCCAAATGTTTTAAGTGCTTAGATTATGGACACATAACTAGTCAATGCAAAAGTGAAACAGATCGATCGAAACAATATTCAAAGTGTTGGGTGAATGGCCACTTTATTAAAGACTGCAAAAACGAGTCATTGTGCATGCTCTACAAAGACAGAAATCCAAATCAGTGCAAACATGGTGTAGGCAGCAAGCATTATCTCGTCTTTAGGAGAGCAGTGATAGACAGAATGCATGAACATTTGTTCCAGAAGGTCCTGGAACAAATGGTGAAGGAGAAAAATGCAGACACTGTTTTAATTAGTGAACCGTACAAAAACAAAACTTGTGAATCATGGCCAAGGAATAAAACAAGGAAAGCTGCAATTTGGACATGCGGAAAGTATGCACTACAAGAGGTTGACTAAAGACGCACAATCAAAAAATAGCGCACACTTTATTGCTCTTCGAAATTTATATTGATTTACTTTATGTTTCATTTTCATAATTTAGGATAAAATATATTAACATACTTTTTGAATTTAAATTCAAATTTTAAAAGATCAAACAAGAAATATGTCCGTCATTTTATTCATCGTCTACAGCGCTCAATTCCTCTTTCTGTCATACAACCCCTTCTCACACACAATACATTCGTTATCTTTTATTTAAAAAAAATAATAATCAGTAGAACTTATTTTATTAGTTATATATATATTTATATTTTTACATGTTATTATTTTATTTCTAATTATTTTATCAAAGTTAATTATATATATATATATATTATTATTATATTCTATATATTATGATTTGATACAAAGTATGTTTATTATGATGAGATAATAGATTTATAGAGATTTTTCTGAATAATTGAGAACATCCACGAAGCCATAAGGTAATTTATTTTTATAGAATAGCTGGTTGATGTGGAATTGAATTTACATTTGATTTTTGATATTAAGTATTTTATATTAATTTAATGTTTGTGTATCATAAGTTACATGTGTGTTGTTGCGTCCATCTTTCTTTGATAGATAACTGAACTTTGTTATGGAGTTGATTTTTATGAGAGTTTAAACACCTACTAATTTGGATTTAATTAATTTTCATTTATTATAATATAGGTGTATCTCAATATAAATATCAAAGTTTTAGAAGTATGATGTTGGGTATTAAGTTAAGTTATTATCTAATTAATGTATTATAATTTATTAATGTATTATATTTATTGACATCAGTTGTAAATCAAATGTATATTGTTATATTATTTATTATTTATTATTTATTATTATTATTATTAATATTAATAGATAGATTTATACAATAATTAGGTACTTCTATTTTATTCTATTAAATTTATTTTATTATATGTTGTTAGAAGATTGTTACATTAAGATTTTATTTATTTATTATTTAATTATTTATTTATTTTCACTCTATATATTTATTATTTATTATTTAACATTACGTTATCATTTATGTATGTTTGGGTGTATCTGATGCGTTTCCATGTATTAGCTGATGATACATTTCGGCATACATTTGTGATGGGTGTAGCTGACTAACAACGGGTGTTGTTAGAAGATTGTTACACTAAGATTTCATTTATTTATTTTATTTATTTATTTATTTATATATTTATTTATTTATTATTTAATATTATGTTATCATTTATGTATGTTTGGGTGTATCTGATGCGTTTCCATGTATTAGCTGACGATAAATTTCGGCATACATTTGTGATGGGTGTAGCTGACTAACAACGGGTGTTGTTAGAAGACTGTTACATTAAGAATTTATTTATTGATTTATTTATTCTTATCATATCATACTAACATTCAAGATATTCCTGTTAGCTCACGACTTATAGGAAATATAGATGTGAGCATACAGGGTATCCGCATTGTTTCATAATAACATTCAAGATATATTGGATTTTTCACGATTCATAGGTAATGTAGATGTAAACTATCCGTATATCCGCATTTATTAATAATTTATATAATTAATATACTTATATTATAATAAACACTAATTACTAATTATTCATTTATTAACAAATCACTCATTATCATTAATTTATTAATTAATTTCTTAATTTATTAATTAATTAATTTATTATTTAATTATTATTTGGTAATATATGCATCACAACATAAATAATAATTTTGAATTAATTTAATATTTTAGAATCACAATAAATTCAATTAATATAATAATTTAATAATTTAATATTTTAACAATTAAATGACTGTTAATAATTGTTAATCAATATTAATATTTCATAAAATAAATAACAGAACATTTACACAGCTGACTTTGTTTGTCGACTTTAGTTGGCTCTTTACTTTTATTGTGCACGCATCTTAATGCGAATTTGTGTTGTGGTGTTTTTGTAAAATTATTTGAAATATTTATTAGTGCCAAACCATTCAATAAATTTTATAAGAAAATAATATAAGTAAGTAATATTATATATTCTATACAATTTTTCAAGAATTCCAATTTATAATTTATAATTCTTATTATAATTTTATAATTTTATAAGTTTGTGATTTAATTTAATTTAGTGATTTGTTTTGATGATTTTAATGATTTTTAATGATTTTATAATTCATTTTGATAATTTATTTAATAATTTTGTTAAATAATTTTATTAATTTTTTGATTGATTTCTTTATTTATTTAATTGATTTATTTAAATATTTATTCATTCTGGACTATACTGACATAAAATTTTCTTTTCTTTCTTGCCATATAATTTATGGCATGAGTCAGAAAACGATACTTCTGACATAAATTGTTTGCCACTTAAAATTCGGTTAATAGCTCATGTGGTGTCAAATATATTGAGACCACACAAATCGGAACACATGTGAATATGAGACACATGACAAGCAAATGCACAGTAAATACTTACTATCAGGGACCGTAACAGTTATCATAAAAAAAATAAAAATCATCTTATAACTGTTATCATATGCATTTTAAAATAAAACTCAAAAAATAATAATTAAATTTGATTTTTATTATATTCATCAAAAATAATAATTATTATATGCCTTTTATTTTTTTCGCGCAGAAATAACTCTTAAAATTTGCTTCTTATTTTAAAACGCACAAATAACTGGTATACTTGCGTTATATAATATAAAAAGCAAGAGTATCGCGCAAATTCTGCGCGATATTTTTAAAATGAAAATATAAAATGCAATTTTCATACAAGGTAGTTGTTTTTGCAATTCCGTAGAAAATGTTTTGAAAAGGTTGGTGCAGGTAAAGATTTAGTTTAGTTTTTTGTTTTTGTATTTTGCATACAAATTTGTTCTCCTACAAAATACAAAGTTAAATACAAAATATGAATCCAAAATACAAAAACAAAAAACTGAACTAAATCTTTACCTGCACCAACCTTTTCAAACATTTTCTATGGAATTGCAAAAACAACTACCTTGTATGAAAATTGCATTTTATATTTTCATTTTAAAAATATCGCGCAGAATTTGCGCGATACTCTTGCTTTTTATATTATATAACGCAAGTATACCAGTTATTTGTGCGTTTTAAAATAAGAAGCAAATTTTAAGAGTTATTACTGCGCGAAAAAAATAAAAGGCATATAATAATTATTATTTTTGATGAATATAATAAAAATCAAATTTAATTATTATTTTTTGAGTTTTATTTTAAAAAGCTCATATATAAAAAGCATGCATAATATTAAGGATAAAAGTTATTAGAATGATAACTATTTACTTAAATAAGAGTTTAGACAACTTTTTGTTGCTACTTTTTTTCATAAAAAATTTTAAAATAACTGTTATTTTCGGTCCCTGCTTACTATGCATTTCTTGTCTTAGGTAATGTGTCGATAATATATAGGAAATAAATAAAATAAGACTAACCAATTAGAGTTAAGAAATACTTTGTTAGTTTTA